CAACTCCCAAATGACAAAATCAACCACCACCACCCCCCACCCCAACCCCACCAGTGTTCAGATTTGGGTGTATCAGGTATTTGTGCCCAGTTTGGTCCAGTGAATGAAAATACAGATATCAGATATTTACATTACAATTCATAACAGTAGCAAAATTACAGTTATGAAGTAGTAACAAAAGTAATTTTATGGTTGGGGGTCACTACAACATGAGGAACACAACATGAATTAAGGAGTCGCAGCATTAGGAAGGTTGAGAACCACTGTCCTACATGAAATGGTGGACATGTGATACAAGAGATGTTTAGTATCAGAATACAGCTGCCAGTTTCTTCCAGCATCCTGTGTATATAGAGATAGGGCCTTCTCGGTGGTGGCTCCTCGGCTGTGGAACGCCCTTCCTACGGACATTAGACTAGCACCATCTCTAATGGTATTCCGCAAAAAGGTGAAGACCTGGATGTTTGTGCAGGCGTTTGAGTAATTTAGTACAATCTGGTAATGGAACATAGGAATGGAACAATGGACGACGAATCTGGACTACGCTTGGATGATGAGAAGATTGGGTACGGTTGTTTTTTGTAATAATTGTGCATTGTAATTGCTTATTGGTAATTTATGGATAATGTGTTAAGTCAATTGTTATATGTTGTATGGAACCACTGCTGTTTCTACTGTTTCTACTGTTTGTGAACCGCTGTGAGTCGCCTTCGGGCTTGAGATACAGCGGTATATAAGCAAAGTAAGTAAATAAATAAATATATAAATATATAAGAACTTGTCTCCTGCTTTGCAGAGATGCATATTGTCCAGATGTATTAAGTGAGAATCGGAAACATGTTTTAATTCTGGATAAGACTTTCAGACAAGGAAGAAGCAATGGCTTCCTTTAATAAAAGAAAAGACTCTGACATCTGCTTTGTGGCTCTGCAAAACCACAGAACAGGGCTCTTGTTTGGAGCTTCTCGCTCAGCCCTTTGCTCTGGGCTCCGGTTACCTTTGAGGAATGTGCAGGAGGCCCCGTCAGGTGACACAGCTGCGGGCAAACTCCTTTTGAACTCCGTTGTTCCCTTTTTTCAGCAGGTATTGGCCAAATTGCACTAAACTGAAAGATGGCTGCTCTGTGACCCCAGGGAATCATTGGACTTCTTCTGACCCAATTCTGACAGTGCTGTTTGCGTTCCGGTCAAAGGAAAGGCCTTCCAAAGTCTTATACTTGCAGATCCAGGTCTTGCAAAGTCAGGGCAGCCCTGGCTTTTCCTTCATTGCAGGGTAGCGTCCCTCTTTTCCTACCACTTTTTATCTCATGTTGTTGTTTATTCGTTCAGTCGCTTCCGACTCTTTGTGCCCTCCTGGACCCGCCCACGCCAGAGTTCCCTGTCGGCCATCGCCACCCCCAGCTTCTTCAGAGTCAAGCCAGTCACTTGAAGGATACCATCCATCCATCTTGCCCTTGATTGGCCCCTCTTCCTTTTTCCTTCCATTTTCCCCAGCATCATTGTCTTCTCCAAGCTTTCCTGTCTTCTCATGATGTGGCCAAAGTACTTCATCTTTGCCTCTCATATCCTTCCCTTCAATGAGCAGTCGGGCTTTCTTTCCTGAAATATGGACTGGTTGAATCTTCTTGTGGTCCAAGGGTTTTATCTCATATGTAATAATAATATACTAATTACTTTATTTTGGAGCCCCCGGTGGCGCAGTGGGCTAAAGCACTGAGCTGCTGAGCTTGTTGACCGAAAGGCCACATGTTCGAATCCGGAGAGCAGCGCGAGCTTTCGCTGTCAGCCCCAGCTTCTGCCAACCTAGCACTTCAAAAACATGCAAATGGGAGTAAATCGGTAGGTACTGCTCCGGCAGGAAGGTAACGGCGCTCCATGCAGTCATGCCGGCCACATGACCTTGGAGGTGTCTACAGACAATGCTGGCTCTTCGGCTTAGAAATGGAGATGAGCACCACACCCCAGAGTCGGACACGATTGGAAACCTTTACCTTACCTTTACCTAATGTTGTCGTAAGTGGAAGCAGACCTAATGGTATCTTACAACAACAAATGTAAGGTTTGCTCATCCCAATTACAGGGCCTCAAAGCAGCCCTACATTGCTATTTCCCTTGGCAGTAGGGGCCTGCACAAGGGCTTTCATATCCAGGTGAGCAAAGGGTTCACTCCTCCTGTCTTGCTAAGCATTATTATTTGTCTTTTCCAGGGAACCACCTCGTCTCAGGATATGTCCAAAGTGTGTAAGCCTCTATTTAGTGATTCCAAATTTGGTTTTGCTTCAGGGCCCATTGATTTCCCTCTTTTGTAGTATTTGCAAAACTCTCACCCCATCTCAAGGGGATCCCCATCCAATGTTCCCTACCACACACAATGGACAACATTCACCCCTGTGTCCTCCCAATAATGCCTTTCTAGAGTTTCTTCACGGAATTGCTTGAGGTGCTATTTATATTTATTGTGTCAGGAGGACACAACATTTGCAAACTTGGCATTCTATTAAATGTCCTTTGACCAGTAGTTGAAGTGTCTCTGATGTTGCTATAAGAAGGTTCTCCATTGTGCATTGTAGTAGGTAGTCAGTGGTTTGCTCTTCTCCACACCTGCATGTCGTGGATTCCACTTTGTGGCCCCATTTCTTAAGGTTGGCTCTGCATCTTGTGGTACTAGAGCACAGTCTGTTCAGCGCCTTCCAAGTCGCCCAGCTTTCTGTGTGCCCAGGAGGGAGTCTCTCATTTGGTATCAGCCATTGATTGAGGTTCCGGGTTTTAGCCTGCCACTTTTAGACTCTCGCTTGCTGAGATGTTCCAGCGAGTGGCTCGAGGAGCTGAACTGTATTGAATTGAATATTTTGGGAGGCACACCTTACTCTGCCATGAATTTAAAAGGGCTACACTCCATGTGGTGTAGTGGTTTGAGCCTTGGATAAAGGGTCCACCTGCACGATAGAAATAATGATAAATAAATAATAATAAACTTTATTTGTACCCCCACTGTCTCCCCAAGGGACTCAGTGCGGCTTACATGAGGCCAAGCCCAAAGTACATCAAACACAACATCAATAAACACAACATCAATAAACAATCAATAAAATACAAATCATATAAATCACATAAACAAAAAACAATGCAGTTTGAGCCTACTTTAACTGCTATTGCTCAATGCTATGAAATTATGGGATTTGTATTTTGGGTGTGGCACCTATACTCATTAGTAGAGAAGGCTCAAGAGCTTCTGAATCCACTAGGATCCTATAGCATTGAGCCAGGACAGTCCAAATAAGGTGAAACTGCATTGATTCTGCACGTAGATGCACCCAAACATGGTGGAGATAAGTTTTCAAGCCCCCGTTGCCTGACTATGACACCCACAAGGTGACCTTGGGAGAGTCACTCTGTCTCAGCCTCAGAGCAGAAGGACAAATGTCTTCTGAACAAATCATGCCAAGGAAACCCAGCCATAAGGTTTCCAAAAGTCAGAAATGCCTTGAAGGCACACAAACCACCACAACACACACATTGACCCAGCATTCACAGGGAACGTTTCTCTGGGGAAAAGGGCTGGAGAATCTTTCTTCTGGAAGGAAGTGATGTAACAAATAAGCTTGGAACACATGGAGCCGCGAGGGTTCTGCAGGTTCCTCCACTGGGCACACAATTGGCCTGGCTTCCATTGGGCTTTCCGCTTGACCACACACCTCTGTCTTGAAATCCCAGGTGGCCGGCACTATGGTGGGTTTGGCTCTGTGTAACCTAATACTGTTTTACATACTTACTTAGACAATCCTTGTAGCTCGAGGATGATTGTCTTCCAGATGTGGTGTCTTGGCGGTGGGCCTGTAGGTGGCTGTGGAGCCCTATTCTTGATCCGCATGTTCTTCCGCAGTGAGGACATCGGTTTCCAGTTGGAAGGCGGTCCCAGTCAGGGTTGGCTTGACACGCCTACCTCTTGGCACGTTTCTCCCTTTCACCCTCTATTCGTGCCTCTTTGAATTCTGCAGCACTGCTGGTCACAGCTGACCTCCAGTTAGAGTGCTCAAGGGCCAGGGCTTCCCAGTTCTCGGTATCTATGCCACAGTTTTTAAGGTTGGCTTTGAGCCCACCTTTAAATCTCTTTTCCATTCCATTTTCCATTATTGAGTTCGGAGTAGAGTAACTGCTTTGGCAGACGGTGATTGGGCATTCCGACAATGTGTCCAGTCCAGCAGAGTTGATGGTGGAGGAGCATCACTTCAATGCTGGTGGTCTTTGCTTCTTCCAGCACGCTGATATTTGTCCACCTGTCTTCCCAAGAGATTTGCAGGATTTTTCAGAGGCAGCACTGATGGAATCATTCCAAGAGTTGCATGTGACGTCTGTAGACAGTCCATGTCTCGCAGGCATATAGCAGGGTTGGGAGGGCACTGGCTTTATAAACAAGCACCTTGGTAACCCTACGGATGTCCCGGTCCTCAAACACTCTGTGCTTCATTCAGAAAAATGCTGCACTTGCAGAGCTCAGGTGGTTTTGTATTTCGGTGTCAATGTTGATTTTTGTGGAGAAGTGACTGCCAAGGTAGCAGAAATGGTCCACATTTTGTAATGTTACACCATTAAGCTGTATTTCTGATACCGTTATCCCAAAATTTACACTAGAACGGCATTTAAAGACAAGGGCCTGCGTCCTCCTGTGACGTATGTTAGCAAAAGGTGGTGGTAGGGTTTCACATCAGCATAAGTATTGATTATGACAATGACAATAATACATTCCTGGTCATTCCACAGATATATAAACCCTTTTTCCTAGTTCCAACAGACCTCACTTCCTCTGAGGATGCTTGCCATGATGCAAGCGAAACGTCAGGAGAGAATGCCTCTAGAACATGGCCATATAGCCCAAAAAAACCTACAACAACCGACAATAATAGATTTTATTTGTTGCCTGCCTCTCCACATGTTTCTATGTGAGGCTGTTTGAGGCCATGGAGACTGATGATGTCTTGGGTCTGTTCTTGTCTCCCTCAGGTTGACCTGTCGCACTTGGCCCCGGAGGAGCGATGGAGGTGAGTGGAGGCCAGCTTTGCCCTGGAGCTTATGGGTGGCCTGGCCACTTGCCCCTTTTTCTGCCCAGCTGAGGATCTGTGAAACCATAAGATATGGTTGCTGGTGGAGGAAGTCTCTGTCTAGTCCATTGGTTCTCAACCTGTGGGTCCCTGTTAGGGATTCCTCATCTTCAGAGGAGAAAGGGGAGCAGGAAAGTGCTCAGAAATTGGAGGGAGAAGAAGTATCAGATGATGAGGCTTTGCAAGTGCCTACATTTTAAAAGAAACAGAGCACAGACGCCGTTTAGCTCGAATAACTGCTAAAAACGCTGAGCTAATTAGGAGACGCCCTAGCCCCTAAATCAGAAGCAGGAGCAGTCAGCTTCCGCTGCTAACAACGACCCTGTTGCTGACTGAACCTGCTTTGTGTCTGCTGTTAAGGACTTTGTGATCTTTGCCTATTGTCTGTTGTTTCTTTTAGAACTTTTGTAAGAGACTTTCATTTGTGTCTGCATTAAGACTTCCTCCTTTTTCAGTTGCATTTGCTTATAATTGTGTTTGCTGAAGTAAAGCATTTTTCTTTTACTTTCAACCTTGTATTAAGGCTGTTTTTGAAGGTGTTTTAGCCCACAACTCCTAGAAATCCCAGCCAGTTTACTAGCTGTTAGGATTTCTGTGAGTTGAAGGCTAAAATATCTCCCCTTTTTTTACTACCATAGGCTATGCTGCCCTTTATTTTAGATACCAATACCCCTCCATAGTGCAAACCTGCTGTCTAATCTTCACTGGTGTTTCCTAGATCTCTGTAACCCAAGGTGTTTGTCTTCCTTCCTGCATGGAAAGGTCACATTCCCCTTTCTCCCCAAAAGGCTTTGGTGTGCTTTATTTGAAAAGGGAGCATCGCAAGGCTTCTCTCTGCCTCAAGATGACACCAGAGACACCAGAGTCACCCTTAGACACCAGAGTCAGCCTTTGACAATACAACGTTGAGTAACTTTATTTATTTATTTATTTACATTTATTTACAGTATTTGTATACCGCTTATCTCACCCCAAGGGGGACTCAAAGCGGTTTACACATAAGTAATGGCAAAAATTCAATGCCAGTACAAACAATTACAATTATACATACAATTAGACATAAATCAAATTAAAAAAATATATCCATGAGCAATAAAGCCTCTTTTTGTCAGTCTGCTCTTTTATCCAAGATGTCTGACCTGCAACAATGAAAGTGATGCCACCTAGGGTCTCGGGGATGGTGGGACGCGGAAGCCGGGGGCAAGTGCCAGTCTCTGACCTGCCATTCTCCCTCCCTCCTTTCCTTCCAGGGTGGAGCATGTCCGGATGCACGCCAAGCACCGGGGCCACGAGGCCATGCACGCCGAGATGGTCCTGATCCTCATTGCCACGCTGGTGGTGGCCCAGCTCCTCCTGGTGCAGTGGAAGCAGCGGCACCCCCGCTCCTACAACGTAAGCTGGCCCCTAGGTATATATGTTTCCCCCCTGCCCCTTCCCCCAATAACCCCAAGGAGGGGACACCCACCTCGTATGAGCCCCGTTCCAACTGGACCCAGTGGGCTTCCTGTCCTCACAACCCTTCGGGAAGGCATTATTCCAGCGAGCTTAAAACAAGCTATAATAAAACCGCAGTTGAAAAAACCACTAGGGCATAGGGTTACAGCCTGTGTTGGATGGGGTCACACTCCCCCTGAAGATGCAGGTTCGCAGCTTGGGTGTGATCTTGGACTCGAAACCAGTGACCAGGGGAGCATTTGCACAATTAAAACTTGTGCACCAGCTGCACCTGTAGCTTGGGAAGTCTGACTTGGCCACGGTAGTCCACGCTCTGGTTACATCCCGTATAGACTACTGCAACGCTCCCTACGTGGGGTTGCCTTTGAAGACTGCTCGGAAGCTTCAAATGCTCCAATGCTCAGCAGCCAGGATGCTAACAGGAGCGGCACTCAGGGAGCATACAACTCCTCTGTTGCGCCAGCTCCACTGGCTGCCAATTTGCTCCCGGGCACAATTCAAAGTGCTGGCTTTAGCCTATAAAGCCCTAAACGGTTCTGGCCCGACCTACCTGTCCGAACGCATCTCCTCCTATGAACCAGCTAGGATGTTAAGATCATCTGGGGAGGCCCTGCTCTCGATCCCGCCTGCATCACAAGCACGCCTGGCGGGGATGAGAGACAAGGCCTTCTCAGTGGTGGCTCCTCGGCTGTGGAACGCCCTTCCTACAGATATCAGATCGGCCCCTTCCTTATTGGCATTTCGGAGGAAAGTGAAGACCTGGTTGTTCGAACAGGCATTCGATTAGGCAGTGTGATTGATTACAGGAATACGGAATAACGGATGACACTGGATTCTGACTGTATTGACGAGACGCGAATGATTTGTCATATTGATGTTTAATTGTTGTTATGCTATTGTTTTTAAATGTTCCAATGGTTTTGTAATGTGTGCATTGAAATTGCTGCTGTTAACCGCTTTGAGTCTCCTAAGGGCTGAGAAAAGCGGTATTTAAATGAAGTAAGTAAGTAAGTAAGTAAATAAATAAATAAATAAATAAATAAATAAACCTTGCATTGGGTTTTAGAGTGCGTGGGCAAATCTACGCTGTAGAATGAATGCAACTTGATACCACTTGAACTGACCTGGCTTGATAATAATAACAATAAATTTTATTTCTTACCTGCTGTTCCTCGAGACAAGGTTCAAAACAGTGAAAAACATATAATTATAAAACTTTATGTAAAATGCACACATTAAAGCGTATTAATAAATACACTTAACTGTTGGGATTTGTGTGTTTTCATGTTGTAAGCTGCTTTGAGTCTGCAATGCGGAGAAAGGAGGGGTAGAAATACTTTAAATACATACATCCATCCATAACATTTGTTATGTGCCTCTCCTCACAGCTTGAGACAAGTTACAACATTGTGTTTTATATTGATTGCATGTGTTATTATTTTTTTATTCCATTCTATGTGTTATTCTATAACACATATTCCATATTCCATTCTACAATACATATTCCATTCTATAATACTTTATTGTATTATCTATATTGTGAGAGGCCCCGAGTCCCTTGGGGAGAGGGGGCGGGATATAAATAAAGATGATGATGACGATGATGATGATGATGATTTTTATTATTATTATTATTACTATTATTACTATTATTATTAAAACACATAATTATTTAAAACTCTCTTTAAAAAATTATTTATTTATTTATTTGGTTTACTTTTACCCCGCCCTTCTCACCCCGAAGGGGACTCAGGGCGGTTTACAGATCCATGGCACAATTTGATGCCCGTAACATACCACAGCAATAAAACAAAACACAATTTAACAATCAACAGCAATACATTACATCTATACCCGTTAAAACCAATAAAATTTCATACAAACCGATACAAACCAATTACTCCTTATTGCCGGTCAATGTTCGCTATCTCATAGTTCAGAGTTTCCTTCCACATTTATCCGTCTTGCCGGTCCTGTTTGTCTGGTTGTCCTTACCTAGTTAGCAGATTGCCCGAAGGCCTGGTCCCACAACCACGTCTTTACCCTCCTCCTGAAAGACAGGAGTGATGTCGACGTCCTGATATCCACTGGGAGTGAGTTCCACAGGTGAGGGGCCACCACTGAGAAGGCCCTGCTCCTTGTCCCCACCAGCCTCACTTGGGAAAGCGGTGGGGTTGAGAGCAGGGCCCCCTCAGATGATCTTAAATTCCGTGGTGGGACGTAGAGGGAGATACGTTCGGACAGATACGCTGGACCGGAACCGTACAGGGTTTTGTAGGTCAAAACCAGCACCTTGAATTGGGCTCAGAACTGAACCGGCAGCCAGTGGAGCTGACACAGCAGAGGGGTGGTGTGCTCTCTGTATGTCGCCCCAGTGAGCAGCCAGGCTGCCGCTCGCTGAACCAGTTGAAGTTTCTGAACCGTCTTCAAGGGCAACCCCACATAGAGTGCGTTGCAGTAGTCTATTCGGGATGTAACAAGAGCGTGGACCACTGTGGCCAGATCAGACTTCCCAAGGTACGGGCGCAGCTGGCGCACAAGTTTTAATTGCGCAAAAGCTCTCCTGGCCACCGCTGAGACCTGGGGTTCCAGGCTCAGCGATGAGTCCAGGATGACTCCCAAGCTGCGAACCTGTGCCTTCAGGGGGAATGTAACCCCGTCTAACACAGGCTGTAACCCTATGCCCTGTTTGGCCTTGCAACTGACCAGTAGGACCTCTGTCTTGTCTGGATTCAATTTCAATTTGCTAGCCCTCATCCAGTCCAACACAGCAGCTAAACATCGATTCAAGGTCTGGACAGCCTCCTTGGTGACAGGTGGAAAGGAGTGACCAATCTGGACATCATCTGCGTAGAGATAAAATGCGCATATTAAAACATATTTCTATGAAACACATTTATTAAAATACACAGAACAAATATTAAAACACAGTAAGCACAGGACATGGGTTTAAAATACGTAGTTTTTATTATTTATTTTTATTTATTTATTTAGAGCTTTTATAACCCGGTCTTCTCAACCTCTGAAGAGGGACTCAGGCCGGCTAACAGCGGAAAATTCATACACACATAGAATAAACATAATAGCATCATAATACATTAATACAAAAATACATTAAAATACAGATCATACATAGTTAAAAATGGACTGGATCTGTTTGCCGGAAGAGATATGTCTTCATAGAATCTGAGAATAATAGAGTTGGAAGAGACTGCATGGGCCATCTAGTCCAACCCCCTTTTTCTGCCATGCAGGAAAAGGACCATCAAAACATCCCTGACAGATGGCCATCCAGCCCCTATTTCAAAGCCTCCAAAGAAGGCTTTAACATACTTCAGTTGCATCTTAAATTCCAACAGCTTGTTTAGCTGCTGTGGGATCTCTTCCTTTGGCAGGTGCTTCCACACGCATCTTTTTGGGGCGGCCGATGAAATGGGGGTCCTCTGGGTGATGGTTGCCAGTCGGATTCTGATTGCTTGGAGTACATGCAAAACCCAGAGGACCTAATTGCCCAAAGAGGCCATGCATCATGTGGGAAATGGCCATCCTGTAAGGAACCTGGATCCAAACCATGGAGGGCAGACATCCCCAAACTGCGGTCCTCCAACTCCCAGAATCCCTGGCCATTGAACAAGCTGGCAATAGGGGCTTCTGTGAGTTGGAGGCCCAAACAGCTGGAGGGCCACAGTTTCAGGATCCCTGATATAGGGCTTTAAAGGTCAAAACCAACACTTTGTACGTTGCACGGAAACTAATTGGCAGCCAGTGGAGTGACTTTAATATAGGTGCAAAATGCTCACTCTTGGATGTTCATGTCACCAATCTGGCTGCTGTGTTTTTAACTACATCCAGTTCCCAAGTTACAAATGCCCAACCTACAAACAACAAGATTAAGATCTTCTGGGAAGACTCAGGGTGGCAAACATGAGGCCGAGCCCCAAAATAATACAACAAAATAATATACAAAACAATAGAAAATTAAACACAACAAAATACATAATGCAACAAAATAAACTAGACAATGCAAAATAACCTAATGAAATCAGTCACAAAGGGTGGGCCAAATGTGCAAGATAAAATGTTAGAAACATTAAAACCCTGGGTGGGATAGGAAATAGAAAAGGTGTATTTGTAAAGGAGGAGCCCGAGACGGGGAAGCACTGGGGTTTGGGCTTCATTAGGGGTAGGGGAAAGTGCATCATGTAAACAAACTGTAGATGGAAACTAACAAAAATGGGTTGGATGGTCACTCTCCGAAGGCACAGAAAATTTGGACAGTTTTCTGTTCCTGGTTCGAAAGTGTTCTTTCCTGTTTAATTGTGTGGTCCTGACTTTGAAAATAGTTGTTCTACTCCAGAAACTTTGTTTTTTTTTAGCTGCTTAATTGTTAGATATGCACTAAAGAAGGAGGTGGAAAACCTAAGGAACTGTGAGGTGCAGCAACAGCAACAGTGGTGATTGCCCTCTGCATGACCCTGGGTCTATCCCACACACACACTTTGACCTTTGGCCTTCTGTTGCAGATGGTGACCCTCTTCCAGATGTGGGTCGTTCCCCTTTACTTCACAGTGAAGCTGCACTGGTGGCGGTTCCTGGGGATCTGGGTTTTCTTCTCCGCCGTGACGGCCTTCGTTACCTTCAGGGCCACCAGGAAGCCCCTCCTCCAGACAACGCCTAGGTGAGCAGATGCACCAGCCTCCTATGTCAGAGAAGACTTAAGGCCTTGGAAAATTACAGCTTCCATGACTCCATAGCATTGATCCGGTGCAAAGGAACCGAGTTGTGGCGCAGCTGGTTGGGAGTCAGCTGCATTAAAATCACTACTGACCGAAAGGTCATGAGTTTGAAGTCATCCCGGGTCAGAGTAAGCTCCTGACCATTTGTCTAGCTTGCTGTCGACCTATGCATCCCGAAAGACAGTTGCGTCTGTCAAGTAGGAAATTTAGATGTTGCTTATGCGGGGAGGCTAATTTAACTAATTTACGATGCCATAAAACTCTCCAGCAGCGTGCAAAAGAATGAGGAAGTACTCCATCAATGTCCCAAGTGGACGGTGAGAAGGGTGGGATATAAATACTGTAAATAAATAATAAATTTATTCTACAGCAGGCCTGGGCATACTTGGGCCCTCCAGGTGTTTTGGACTTCAACTCCCACAATTCCTAACAGCCTACCTGCTGTTAGGAATTGTGGGAGTTGAAGTCCAAAACACCTGGAGGGCCCAAGTTTGCCCAGGCCTGTTCTACAGCATTGATGCACCCCAAGGTTTTCCTTTCTATTGCTGGAAGCTTTGGAGTTCTAACACTTTTATTTTTCAGGTTGAGGGTTCCAGGGTATTGAAAATAGCCTCATTTTCCTAGCACATGCTAAATAATAGATTTTTCTATGACGCATATATTCAGCAATGTGGCACACAGGCCTTCTGTGACCCAACTTTGAAGGATTGAGGAGTTTGAACTAAAAACTTTTTGAGGCGCAGCACAGATAGAAAGTAAGGGAGGGAAACAGATTGGCTGATGTGAGGTGAAGTGGCCCTCCATGGTGCCATTAGGAAAGAAAGAGAAATAGGTGCTGAAGGATGAGATGTATATGAGGGGAAGAGACAGGGGAAGGAAGGAAGGAAGGAAGGAAGGAAGGAAGGAAGGAAGGAAGGAAGGGACAAGAAAGGAAGGGAGAAGTAAGGGATTGGGGAAAGGAGGAGAAGAAGGGAAGGTAATAGGAAGATAATGGAAAGCGGGAAGGAAAGTAAGAGAAAGAAGGGAGGAGGAAAAATGGAAGAAGGGAGGGAAAGAAGGGAAGAGGAAGGAAGGAAGGACAAGGACAAGAGTGGAAGGGAGAAGGAAGAAATTGGGGAAGGGAGAAGAAGGAAAGAAAGAAGGGAGGAGGAAAAAATGGAAGAAGGAAGGGAGGAAAAGAAGGGAAGAGGAAGGAAGGACAAGGACAAGAAAGGAAGGGAGAAGGATGAAATTGAGGAAGGGAGAAGAAGGGAAGGAAATAGGAAGAGAACAGAAAGCGGAAAGGAAACAAAGAGAAAGAAGGGAGGAGGAAAAAATGGAAGAAGGAAGGGAGGGAAAGAAGGGAAGAGGAAGAAAGGAAGGAAGGAGAAGGACAAGGACAAGAAAGGAAGGGAGAAGGATGAAATTGAGGAAGGGAGAAGAAGGGAAGGAAATAGGAAGAGAACAGAAAGCGGAAAGGAAACAAAGAGAAAGAAGGGAGGAGGAAAAAATGGAAGAAGGAAGGGAGGGAAAGAAGGGAAGAGGAAGAAAGGAAGGAAGGAGAAGGACAAGGACAAGAAAGGAAGGGAGAAGGATGAAATTGAGGAAGGGAGAAGAAGGGAAGGAAATAGGAAGAGAACAGAAAGCGGAAAGGAAACAAAGAGAAAGAAGGGAGGAGGAAAAAATGGAAGAAGGAAGGGAGGGAAAGAAGGGAAGAGGAAGAAAGGAAGGAAGGAGAAGGACAAGGACAAGAAAGGAAGGGAGAAGGACGAAATTGGGGAAGGGAGAAGAAGGGAAGGAAATAGGAAGAAAACAGAAAGCGGAAAGGAAAAAAAAGAGAAGGGAGGAGGAAAAAAAGGAAGAAGGGAAGAGGAAGGAAGGAAGGAACGAAAAGAGGTGTTTGAGGGAAAGCAAGGGAAGAAGTAAAGAAAGAAGATGGAGAGGAAGAAAGTGTGTGAGGAAAAGGGAAGAAAGAACCACAAAGAAAATGCAAACGTAAGCAACACCAGGTATATATGCTAATAATATGCTAGTAATAAATACCGTTGTTGATGATGATGATGATGATTTTTTTAATGGTTGGGCTTTGTGTATAATTTTTATTCTCTTTCCCGGCATCTAGGTTGGTTTACAAGTGGTTTCTGTTGATATACAAGATCAGCTACGCTACGGGGATCGTGGGCTACATGGCCGTCATGTTCACGCTCTTCGGGCTTAACTTATTATTCAGGTGAGGGAGATCCGTCTCTCGTCGTCGATGTGGCTAGAGCTCTCCTTTATTCTATTTCTTTACTGAATTTATACCCTGCCTTGTTGTTTGGGCTTGGCCTCATGTAAGCCGCCCTGAGTCCCCATCGGGGAGATGGTGGTGGGGTATAAATAAAGATTATTATTATTATTATTATTATTATTAATTTCTCTATTAAACGGTTTGGACCCCGCCTATCTCCGCGATCACATCTCCTTCTATGAGCCGATACAAACTTTAAGATCTTCCGGGGAGGCCCTCCTTTCGCTCCCACCACCGTCACAAGCACGGTTGGTGGGGACGAGAGAGAGGGCCTTCTTGGTGGTGGCCCCCCCTCTGGAACACCCTTCCTAGGGAAATAAGACAGGCCCCATCCCTCCCCTCCTTTTGTAAGAGCCTGAAGACCTGGTGGTTTCAACAAGCCTTTGAGAATGATTAGTTGTAGCTCAGTCCCAGATACTGTTGAATACGGTCATATCTATTTCTACCAATTACCCAGGTCACTTCCTCTAATAGGCCCTGAAAGTGAACAGCCATAGACCATACCTGCTATTATTGTTGTCTGCTATAGCACTGCACTTAATTTCCCGGGACCTCTAGAAATTTTGAGCTTGCACTAGCCTTGGGCCGGCCTTTTAAATTGCCTTGAACAGACAGGATTACTTTTGATATATATGTGCTATTGTGACAATTTTTATGCTAGCTTGGGGACCTGGCATTGCCCAGGTTATTTGAGATAGGCATTGTTTGTCTGTTCTGTAGTTTTAGTCTAGATCCAATGTCTGGTGGTTCAGTGGGTGCGGGTGAACTACAACTCCTGGTCATTCCACAGATATATAAACCCTTTTTCTTACTTCCAATAGACCTCACTACCTCTGAGGATGCTTGCCATAGATGCAGGCAAAACGTCAGGAGAGAATGCCTCTAGACCATGGCCATATAGCCTGAAAAAACCTACAACAACCCATTTGCATTGCTGTTTTCAGGGATTTCTTGTTGAAGGAAACAAGGCTAAATGGATGACTTGTTGATATCTACCTGGTGGTAAATGTGTATCTGTGTATTTCTCCCAAATTGGCAGAATCAAGCCGGAAGACGGCATGGATTTCGGGATCTCTCTCCTCTTCTATGGCCTCTATTACGGGGTGCTGGAGCGGGACTTTGCGGAAATGTGTGCGGATTACATGGCGTCCACCATCGGGGTAAGAGATCCCTCGAGGGAAGCTACAAACAGTCTGGTCTGCCCTAAGTGAAAGTTTGGCCTTCCCTTGTCTCCCCAATCGTCCCAGAATTGCATCGTGGGCCCAGGAACTGCCTTCCATGATCTTACAATGCTGCATGTTCCATATAGGTATTTTCTAGTTCTTCCAGTGCAACTCTATGGTAATCTTTTACAGCACATTGAGATGATTTTTATTTGTCGTGTCAGGGCAACCAGTCAATTGCATTACATTTCTAACAGAACAAAACAAACAAACAGACAAAACACAAAATTTGCAAGCTTGGTAGTTGATTAAATGTCCTTTGACCAGTATCTGGCCACTTGGAGTGCCTCTGGTGTTGCCGCAAGGAGGTCCTCCCTTGTGCATGTGGCAGGGCTCAGGTTGCATTGCAGCAGGTGGTCAGTGGTTTGCTCTTCTCCACACTCGCATGTCGTGGATTCCACTTTGTGGCCCCATTTCTTGAGGTTGGCTCTGCATCTCGTGGTGCCAGAGCGCAGTCTGTTCAGAGCCTTCCAAGTCGCCCAGTTTTCTGTGTGCCCAGGGGAGTCTCTCATTTGGTATCAGCCACTGATTGAGGTTCTGGGTTTGAGCCTGCCACTTTTGGACTCTCGCTTGCTGAGGTGTTCCAGCGAGTGTCTCTGTAGATCTTAGAAAACTATTTCTTGATTTAAGTCATTGACGTGCTGGCTGATATCCAAACAAGAGATGAGCTGGAGATGTCTCTGCCTTGGTCCTTTCACTATTGGCTGCTACTTCCCGGTGGATGTCAGGTGGTGCAATACCAGCTAAGCAGTGTAATTTCTCCAGTGGTGTAGGGCGCAGACACCCCGTGATAATGCGGCATGTCTCATTAAGAGCCACATCCACTGTTTTAGCGTGGTGAGATGTGTTCCACACTGGGCATGCGTACTCAGCAGCAGAATAGCATAGTGCAAGGGCAGATGTCTTCAGTGTGTCTAGTTGTGATCCCCAGGTTGTGCCAGTCAGCTTTCGTATGATATTGTTTCTAGCACCCACTTGGTTCTAATGGCTTGTTGTTGTTGTTGTTGTTGTTATTATTAAGCAAATCTATAACATCACATATTAAAACAGAGTTAAAATCGAACCAAGAATTTATTATGTGCCAAAATCCAACCAAAGTAAAGATAAATGTTTCCCTTGTGTGTTTATTCCTTCTTGATCTCCTCCGCAGTTCTACAGTTCGACAGGGATGCCCACCAAGCACCTCTCGGACAGCGTCTGTGCCGTCTGCGGGCAGCAGATCTTCGTCGAAGTCAACGAAGAAGGCATCATCGAGAACACCTACCGGCTTTCCTGCAACCATGTGTATCCTTTGCCCCCTCCTTTGGGGAGAGCAGCCTCAGCGGGGATTAATTGATTGGTTGGTTGATTGATTGAACAAGTTGAACATGAGCCAAGAGTGTGATGCAGCAGCTTAAAAAAGCCAATGGGATTTTTGGGCTGCATTCAAAAGAGTCGAGTGTCCAGATGGAGGGAAGTCCTGGTGCCCCTCTCTTCTGCCTTGGTCAGAACTTTTCACCTGGAGTCATAACCCTGCGTCCATATATGGGCAAAGCAATTTAAGAAATATATTGTCCAGAGGAGGACCACTGAAATGATGAAAGGTCTGAAGACCATGAATCCCTCGGAGGAGCATCTTCAAGAGCTGGGTTTCTTTAGTCTCAGAAGACAAGGTTGAGAGCAGACATGAGAGCCATGTTTCTATAGGACTAGGGCTGAATGGAGCCATGATAGGAGAAGAGATTCCACCTGAACATTAGGAAGAACTCCCTTACCATAAGGAGAGCTGTTCAACAGTGGAACTCTCTGCTTCAGAGACTGCTGGCAGCTCCTTCATTGGGCGTTTTTAAACAGAGGCTGAATGGTCATCTTTTGAGGCTGCTTAGATTGTGCTTTTTCTGCAGAGTACAACGATGTTGGACTATGATTCTTTGATTGACTGATTGATTGCTTCATTGGAGTCTGCATCCCACAAGATTTTTAGCTTTCTTTGGTTGATTGATTGGGTTGTTTTAGGTTTTTTCGAGCTATATGGCCACGTTCTAGAGGGATTCTCTCCTGACGTTTCGCCTGCATCTATGGCAAGCATCCTCAGAGGTAGTGAGGTCTGTTGGAACTAGGGAAAGGGGTTTATTTATCTGTGGAATGACCAGGGTGGGACAAAGGACTCTTGTCTGTTGCAGCTAGGTGTGAATGTTTCAACTGACCACCTTGATTTGCATTTGATGGCCTGACAGTGCCTGGGGCAATCTTTTGTTGAGAGGTGATTAGCTGTCCCTGATTGTTTCCTCTCTGTTGTTTTGCTGTTGTAATTTTAGAGTTTTTTAATACTGGGTTGTTGTAGGTTTTTTCGGGCTATACGGCCATGTTCTAGAGGCATTCTCTCCTGACGTTTTGCCTGCATCTGTGGCAAGCATCCTCAGAGGTAGTGAGGTCTGTTGGAACTAGGAAAAGGTTTATATATCTGTGGAATGACCAGGGTGGGACAAAGGACTCTTGTCTGCTGGAACTAGGTGTGAATGTTTCAGCTGACCACCTTGATTAGCATTTGATGGCCTGGCAGTGCCTGGGGCAATCTTTTGTTGAGGAGTGATTAGATGTCCTTGGTTGTTTCCTCTCTGTTGTAATTTTAGAGGTTTTTTTAATACTGGTAGCCAGATTTTGTTCATTTTCATGGTTTCCTCCTTTCTGTTGAAATTGTCCACATGCTTGTGGATTTCAATGCCTTCTCTGTGTAGTCTGACATGGTGGTTGTGAGAGTGGTCCAGCATTTCTGTGTTCTCAAATAAAATACTGTGTCCAGGTTGGTTCCTCAGGTGCTCTGCTATGGCTGACTTCTTTTGTTGAAGTAGTCTGCAGTGCCTTTCATGTTCCTTGATGTGTGTTTTCTGGCTACCAGTATTAAAAAATTCTAAAATTACAACAGAAAAACAACAGAGAGGAAACAATCAGGGACAACTAATCACCTCTCAGCAAAAGATTGCTCCAGGCACTACCAGGCTATCAAATGCTAATCAAGGTGGTGAGTCAAAACATTCACACCTAGCTCCAGCAGACAAGAGTCCTTTGTCCCACCCTGGTCATTCCACAGATATATAAACCCTTTTTCCTAGTTCCAATAGACCTCACTACCTCTGAGAATGCTTGTCGTAGATGCAGGCGAAATGTCAGGAGAGAATGCCTCTTGAACATGAACATATAGACCAAAAAAACCTACAACAACCCAGTGATTCTGGTCATGAAAGCCTTTGACAATAGATTGATTGATTGGAGTTTACATCCTGTTTTTCTCCCAAGATGTTTATTATCTCCTTAGGTTGCATCAATGGAGTCTGATAGTAATGGGTGCGTCTGCACGGTAGAGTGAAAGCAGTTTCACACCACTTTAACTATCTGGCTCCATGCTATGGTGCTCTGAGAGGTGTAGTTTCACAAAGGCTTCTGTACATGTCACGACTCTCTGCAAACGCATTCGGAGCTCTCTTTTTGCAGAAAGAAGCACTCTGCAGAGCGTCTGATTGCCTGACTAAGAACACGGCCTTTCGGGGTTTCCGATCCCCGTTTCTCTGACGCAGCCCAACTTGTGGCTTTGGCATGTGCGCGGAGAGGCAAAACCAACACGTCGAATTGCTGACTTCTCTTTTTCCTTCGGGCTGAAATGCCACAGGTTTTGATTAACGCTAACTTGGCTCCAGCCTGGCTGAATGGGTCTAAGGCAAGGGTTCCCTGCCATTCAGACTTTTTTGCAAAGCCTCTGTGCCTTTGATGTCTTCTTCCAACTACTGGTTGAAGAAGGGAAAAAGAAAGGGCCTGAGGCTGTTGGGAATTGTGGGAGTTGGAGTCCAAAACACCTGGGAGTTGTGGGAGTTGGAGTCCAAAACACCTGGGAGTTGTGGGAGTTGGAGTGCAAAATACCTGGGAGTTGTGAGAGTTGGAGTCCAAAACACCTGGGGGTTGTGGGAGTTAGAGTCCAAAACACCTGGGGGTTGTAGGACTTGGAGTCCAAAACACCTGGGAGTTGTGGGAGTTGGAGTCCAAAACATCTGGGAGTTGTGAGAGTTGGAGTCCAAAACACCTGAGAGTTGTGGGAGTTGGAGTCCAAAACACTTGGGGGTTGTGGGAGTTGGAGTCCAAAACACCTGGGGGTTGTGGGAGTTGGAGTCCAAAACACCTAGGAGTTGTGGGACTTGGAGTCCAAAACACCTGGGAGTTGTGGGAGTTGGAGTCCAAAACACCTAGGAGTTGTGGGACTTGGAGTCCAAAACACCTGGGAGTTGTGGGAGTTGGAGTCCAAAACAACTGGAGGGCCCAAGTTTACCCATGTCTGAGTTAGACCCTACTTTAACTTCTCTTGCTCAATGTTATAGTATCCTGGGATCTGTAATTTTGCAGGGTCCTCTCTGCCAAAGAGTGCTAGTGCCTCTCCAAACTATAACTCCCAGGATTCTATAGCATTGAGACACAGCAGTTAAAGTGGTGTCAAAGTGTAGATGTAAGATGTACCCTTCGTCTTACTTCGTCACGTTGCCACATCACACTGTTGACTCATCTCCAGTTTGTGTTCCACCAAGCCTCCTTTGAGGAACCATCACAAAGGCCAGTGACAGCCATTGGGTGTGTGGACACCTTGTGACTGCGGTGGTCACTCTCTAGTCATGGCTGGGATCTACACACACTTTCCCCACCTCGTTTTCTCAGCAGCGTGGCCCCTCTCCACCCCATGAGTTGTTTCTTGCAGTGTGGGTTTTCCTGGAAGAAGTGGGGTGGGGGAGCCTTGAACAATTTCCAGTGCTCTTAATTAATGTTACCCTACTTTGCACATTTCGTCCAAGTACAGCTGTCCCTCCACACTTGCAGATTGGACGCTTCACAGATTTGACTACAGTGTTCCCACACTTATTGCTGGTGTTACCTTCCAAGGACACCCGCGAAAAGTGAAAATCCGCGAAGTAGGAACGCTATATATGTATTGTCGAAGGCTTTCATGGCCGGAATCACTGGGTTGTTGTAGGTTTTTTCGGGCTATATGGCCATGGTCTAGAGGCATTCTCTCCTGACGTTTCGCCTGCATCTATGGCAAGCATCCTCAGAGGTAGTGAGGTCTGTTGGAACTAGGAAAAAGGGGTCTATATATCTGTGGAATGACCAGGGTGGGACAAAGGACTATTGTCTGCTGCAGCTAGGTGTGAATGTTTCAACTTACCACCTTGATTAGCATATAATGGCCTGACAGTGCCTGGAGCAAACTTTTGTTGAGAAGTGATTAGATTGATTTTGTCATTTGGGAGTTGTAGTCGCTGGGATTTGTAGTTCACTTACAACCAAAGAGCATTCTGAACTCCACCAATGATGGAATTGAATCAACCTTGGCACACAGAACTCCCATGACTAACAAAAACTACTGGAAGGGTTTGGTGGGCATTGACCTTGAGTTTTGGAGTTATAGTTCACCTACATCCAGAGACCCTGTGGACTCAAAGAATGATGGATCCGGACCTAACTTGTCACAAATACTCAATATACCCACATGTGAACACTGATGGAGTTTTTTTGAAAAAAGACCTTGACATTTGGGAGTTGTAGTTGCTGGGATTTATAGTTCACCTACAATCAAAGAGCATTGTGAATCCCATGAATGATAGAATTGGGCCAAACTTCCCACACAGAACCCCCATAACCAACAGAAAATCCTGTATTTTCTGATGGTCTTTTGCAACTCCTCTGACACCCCCTCGTGACCCTCCCAAGGGTCTCGACCCCCAGGTTGAGAAACACTGATTTAAAGGCACCACACACCTTTTTTTGTTTGCTGTCTATCTCTGCTTTGCTTTGCAATCTCTCTTGATTGGCTGCCTCTCTTCCTAGGGGGAAGAGGCACACTCCATCGCTGCCATGAGGCGGGATTCGAAGGCCACTATTGGCAATGGCAACCATTCATAAACTGGGAGGCAAAAACCCGCAACAGCAAGTCCGCGAGAAGCGAACTGCGAAGTAGCGAGGGAACACTGTATAACATTTTCTCTGGGACTATCTAGGTCAGGCATGGGCAAACTTGGACCCTCCCTCCAGGTAGGCTGTTAGGAATTGTGGGAGTTGAAGTCCAAAACACCTGGAGGAGGGCTGAAGTTTGCTCATGCCTGGAGTAGAGCAAAAAGTGGAAAATATTAAGTCAATTTCCTTAACTTCTGGCGTCCTCTCAGCTTCCACGAGTTCTGCATCCGGGGCTGGTGCATCGTGGGGAAGAAGCAGACCTGCCCCTACTGCAAGGAGAAGGTGGACCTCAAGCGGATGTTCAGCAACCCGTATCCTTGGCTTGGCTTGGCTTGGCTGGGGACAGATCCGGGGTTTGGGGATTTAAAGCAAAGTCCAGGAAGGTTCCCATCATCAGACCCAGGACAGAGAGGAAACCCTGGTCTGGAAGTCTAGCAGCTGACCACTGGCATCCAAAAGTGCCTTGTGGTTGTAATAGGTATATTGGCCAGCTGTCCATCCATAGATAGATACCTTCACTAACTGACTGTTGGGAAGCCACCCAGAAGGCCTTGTCTCGTCCCCCCTCTAGCCATTGCCTTGAAGGCAACGAGAGGGAAAGAAGGGCCTGATGGATGGATGGATGGATAGCTAGATAGATAGATAGATAGATAGATAGATAGATAGATAGATAGATAGATAGATAGATAGATAGATGGGCGGGCGGACAGACAGACAGACAGACAGACAAATGGACTGGTGGATGGATAGGTAGGTAGGTTGATAGATGGACAGATCGATGGATGGGTAGATGAGTGGGTGGGTGGATGGATGGACGGATAGAGGGATGAATAGGTGGGTGGGTGGGTGGGTGGATAGGTGGATGGACAGATGGATGGGTGGACAGACAGACAGGCAGATAGATAGGCAGACAGATGGATGAGTGGATGGATGGTTAGGTAGGTAGGTGGATGGACAGACGGATGAATGGATGGGTGGACGGATGGAGAGACAGACAGGTGGGTGGGTGGTTGGATGGATGGGTAGATGGATGGATAGGTAGATAGGTGGATGGACAGACGGATGGATGGATAGATGGTTGGGTGGATGGACAGACAGATGGATGGATAGATAGATAGGCAGACAGATGGATGGGTGGATGTATGGATGGATGGACGGGTAGGTGGATGGATGGATAGGTAGGTAGGTAGGTAGGTAGGTAGGTGGATGGATGGATAGATGAGTGGGTGGGTGGGCGGATGGCTAGATAGACAGACAGATGGACGGGTGGATGGATGGATAGGTTGATGGAAAGATGGATGGATAGATGGATGGTTAGACTGACAGACGGATGGATGGGTGGATGGACGGACAGACAGGTGGATGGATGGAAAGATGGATGTGTGGATGGATGGATAGTTAGATAGGTAGATGGGTGGATATATAGACAGATAGATAGATTGATGGATAATAGATAGATCGATGGGTAAGTAGATGATAGCTATATAGATAACAGATAGATGGATAAACAGACAGATAGATGGACAGATCTTTTTACAGAAGTGCTTCTCATGCCTGTTGGAGAAACAACAACCTCCAGCCAGTGTTATGGAGGCCCTGTACCCACACCACAGATTGCCTGGTCTTTGGGGAGGGTCACAGGGGCCTTTCGGGTGCCCTGGACTTTGTGTTGGCCTTCCTTTGACTCCCTGTTTCCCAGCTGGGAGCGTCCGCACGTCATGTACGGCCAGCTGCTGGACTGGCTCCGCTACCTGGTGGCCTGGCAGCCGGTCATCATCGGACTGGTCCAGGGCATTAACTACATCCTGGGGCTGGAATAGCCGCGGGGGCCGGCTCCCAGTTCCCCCTCCGACCTTCGCCAGCCTTGCGCCTGGGGAGCTGTGCGTCGGTGTCGGCGATGGCAGCACCAGGATGGCGAGCGGAGAGCGGCGGAGGCGGCACGGTTCTTTTTTTACGGAAATCACTTACTTACCTCTCAGGATTGCGTCCTCCTGCCCGGCGCGACGGGGAAAGGACTCACACGAGGGAGACGCTGCCGCCGAGGGGAAGGGAGGAAGGGAGGGGGGGGAGGAGAGAGAGTCCTTTTTTAAAAAAAAGAGAAAGAAAGAAAAAAGAAAATAATTATTTTAATGAGCATATTTAAAGTCTTTTTATTGCTGGTGTTTCAAAAAAGGGAGACGGTTTTCTCTGCTGCCGTCCAGAGCGCTCTTCCTGCGTTACTGTTTGGATCAGGAAACCGAATTCTTGCAGCAATGTCCTTGCCACGGTTTTAGGGCGACCCTTTTATTCCTGGTGCAGATGGGCCTTTTGACAACTTGCAGACAAGTCGGGTCAGCACTTGAGAGGAAGAAGAGTGTTGTTGTACAACCTGGTGTTGGCCACATCAAGCTGGGCCTGGACCTAGCGAGTCCGAAGAGCTCAGAAGTCGCCCTGTTTAGAAAACAAAGCCCCAAGTTTGGGAGTCCTTTGCCCAGGAGGCATCGTTTACCCCTTGCCTCGGACGTGGGTTCCTCTCCTTGCGTTTTTTGCACTCTTTTTCTGCTTGCAACTTGGGTTTTGAGTCCCCTTTGGTCTTTTCTACAAATCCCCCAGACCCTTCCTGGTGGGAAGCAAAGTCCCACTCTCTTCCCTCGTTGCTTTCTTTCCCGAAGATGTCAGAACATCGGATAGTGTTGTCATTGTTACCGCAATCCAAGAAAGAGCTAACTCAAGCTGCAACTAGAATCAAACAAGGATATTATCCAGGCAAATGTTTAGGAGTCACAGTGCAACAGATTGGCGTTGGTGTTTTGATCAAGAGACTCGAGTCCTTGCCACAGTTTTAGGGCAACCCTTTTATTCCTGGTTCCAGCTGGGCCTTTGAACAACTTGCAGACAAGTCAGGTCAACACTTGAGAGGAAGAAGAGTGTCTGTGTAGGACGCGGCGTTTGCCACATCAAGTTGGGCCTGGACCTAGCGAGGCCAAAGCATCGCCAGACAAAGAGCTCAGAAGTCGTCCTGTTTGGAAAACAAAACCCCAGGTTTGGGACCTCCTTTGCTCAGGAGGCATCGTTACCACTTGCCTCGGATGTGGGTTCCTCTCCTTGCATTTTTGCACTCCTTTTCTGCTTGCAACTTGGGTTTTGAGTCCCCTTTGGTCTTTTCTACAAAGCCCCCAGACCCTTCCTGGTGGGAAGTAAAGTCCCACTCTCTTCCCTCGTTGCTTTCTTTCCTGAAGATGTCAGAACATCGGATAGTGTTGTCATTGTTACCGCAATCCAAGAAAGAGCTAACTCAAACTGCAACTAGAATCAAACAAGGATATTATCCAGTTTAGGAGTCACAGTGCGACAGATTGGCGTTGTTGTTTTGATCAAGGGACTCGAGTCCTTGCCACGGTTTTAGGGCGACCCTTTTATTCCCGGTTCCAGCTGGGCCTTTGAGCAACTTGCGGACAAGTCAGGTCAGCACTTGAGAGGAAGAAGAGTGTCTGTGTAGGACACTGCGTTTGCCACATCAAGTTGGGCCTGGACCTAGCGAGGCCAAAGCACCGCCGGATGAAGAGCTCAGAAGTTGCCCTGTTTGGAAAACAAAACCCCAGGTTTGGGACCTCCTTTGCTCAGGAGGCATCGTTACCACTTGCCTCGGATGTGGGTTCCTCTCCTTGCATTTTTTGCACTTCTCTTCTGCTTGCAATTTGTGTTTGAGTCCCCTTTGGTCTTTTCTACAAAGCCCCCAGACCCTTCCTGGTGGGAAGTAAAGTCCCACTCTCTTCCCGCGTTGCTTTCTTTCCTGTGAGAAGCACTGAAGATGCCAGAGCATCAGATAGGGTTTGTTGTCGTTGTTACCGAAATCCAAGAAAGAGGCAACTAAGACTGCAACTAGAATTGAGCAAGGATATAATTCAGCATCAGATAGAGTTGTCATTGTTATCGAAATCCAAGAAAGTGGCAACTCAAACTGCAAGTAGAATTAAACAAGGATATAATTCAGCATCAGATAGTGTTGTCATTGTTACCGAGATCTAAGAAAGAGTGAACTCAAACTGCAACTCGATATAATCCAGGTAAAATTTTAGGAGTCACAGTGCAATAGATCGGCCGAGAGGAGCAGCCAACACAGAGGGAAGAAATAACAACAACAACAAGCCTTGGCATCCCTTGAAGTGACTCTTGCATAGTTTGCCAGCAGTGTTTTGTGCTTTCGAGTCTCAGGGCAGCGGTTGAGAGAGCCTGAAAGTGTGTTTCCAGTTTGGACGAAGCAAGGGTTATCTGCAAGTGAAGTGCTTGGGACGGTCCTGATGCAAGGAAGCAGTGGTCAGCGCAGTGTGGCTTTGTACACTGCCTTGGTTACTGTTTATGTTTCTGAGAGTGACCCCAGAAAGCCTCTCATCTCAACTGAGAATCGAAAAAGAAGAGCGGCTGTTTGCAGAAGGACTGGCCTTCCTTGAAGGTCTCTAGACTTTCCACCGAGGAGTAAACCTTGGAAAACAAGGAGCTGAGTTGGAGCAATCACTGCAGCCAACATGGAGGGAAGAAATAACAACAACAACAAGAAGCCTTGCCATCCCTTGAAGTGACTCCTGCATAGTTTGCTAACAGTGTTTTGTGCTTTCGAGTCTCAGGGTAGTGGTTAAGAAAGCCTGATGGTGTGTTTCCAGTTTGGATAAAGCAAGAGTTCTCTGCAGGCGCAGTGCTTGGGACAGTCCTGATGCAAGGAAGCAGCGGTCAGCACAGCGTGGCTTTGTCTACTGCCTTGGTTACTGTTTATGTTTCTGAGAGTGACCCCAGAAAGCCTCTCATCTCAACTGATAATTGAGAAAGAAGAATGACTGTTTGTGGAAGAACTGGACTTCCTTGAAGATCTCCAGACTGTCCACCAAGGAGTAGCCCATAGGCACAAGGAGCGGAGTGGCAGCAATCATTGCAGCCAACACAGAGGGCAGAAATAACAATAACAACAAGCCTTGCCATCCCTTTTGTTTCTGAGAGTGACCCCAGAAAGCCTCTCATCTCAACTGAGAATCGAGAAAGAAGAGTGGCTGTTTGCAGAAGGACTGGCCTTCCTTTGAAGGTCTCCAGACCTTCCTTGAAGGTCTCCAGACCAGTCAACACAGCGTGGCTTTGCCCACTTCCTTGGTTACTGTTTATGTTTCTGAGAGTGACCCCAGAAAGCCTCTCATCTCAACTAAGACTCAAGAAAGAAGAGCAGCTGTTTGCAGAAGGACTGGCCTTCCTTGAAGGTCTCCAAACTTTCCACCGAGGAGTAGCCCTTGGATACGATAAGCAGAGCGGGAGGAACACTTGCTGGATCTTGACCCTACAAGACTCCATACGTGTCAGTGTTATGGTTTCTACAGAGTGGGTAATTTATAACCTTTAAGCAAGCCAACGGTCTTGTGAGGAAGTTCAAAGGCTGGCTTTGCGGTGAGTTGCAAATTGGGCAGAAAGGCGACCGGTTGCCACAATGCCTTGCTAGATTATGCATCCTCATCCCATCCAAGTGCATTTAGGGGAATGATCAGGAAGAAGAGATGGGGCAATGGCTAGAAGAACCTCTCAAAGGGCAAAATTAGTCATTTATGTAAAGCTCCCATTGAGGACAAGATGGCTTTTGGGCTGCAGAAATCGCTCTGCTTGGTTGGCCTTTTGTGTCTTTTCCTCGACCCGAGGAATGAGCAAACCAATTGAAAAAGGGAGGGAAACTATGGTGAGAAATCTCCCTGTTTGCATGTTTTGGTGTTTACCTGGCTTCGATCTCACTCAGGTCAGGAAACTTGAGGGATGGGAGAAGGAAAAGGCTCTATTTGCGTGTGTGTCCCTTTTACCGCCGTTACTTTGATTTTTTCCCCCTTGCCAGATAATAAAAGGAAAGCGTCTTTATTTGCACCCTCTCTAATTATTCGGGCCATTCACAGCCGTGCAAAACACACGAGTCCCCGACAATGAGCTTCTCCACTGGACAGATCTTTTGGAAAGTCGTCATGTCACCTGAGAATACCTTTTCTAAAAATGTGTAATAAATTTTGCTGAACTGCTTGTCCTGTTCTTTCTGAAAATCCCCAAGTTGGCCAGAAGTTTGCTTTTAATGGCTATAGTTCAGTACTAATATCAAGGCAAATATAGAGTTTATGGTATGGTACATTATGAGGTCTAGTACAGGTATGGGCCAACTTTGGCCCTCCAGGTGTGTTGGACTTCAACTCCCACAATTCCTAACAGCCGGTAGGCTGTTAGGAATTGTGGGAGTTGAAGTCCAAAACACCTGGAGGGCCAAAGTTGGCCCATACCTGGCCTATATTTAAGAGTCGCTCTCAAGCAATCAGAAACTGCATCGCCGTGGATTATCTGAGAGTCTATATATATTGTGACGAAATGAAAACCATGCGTAGTTCACATTTGACCAGTCCACACACTGCTTTGCCAGAGAAAGAAAATACGCCAATCAGATGAACAGTAAAGAACAAGTTGTTTACTCTTCATAGTTCAGAACAACATATTTACAATCATGTGGTCAGTTGCATCGACTCACATAATGTCCTTTTATGAGATATTTAAAATGGTCTTTCTTTGTCCATGTGGATAATCTTCAGCAGCTCATGAAGCAAGAGCACACGCCAAACTCTGCTTCAAACTCTCTCTCTGCACTTATATAACTCAAGCCTGAACAAAAACGTAACAGTGTCCAAAAGTCCCAGGCTTAGTCTGCTTCAAACTCTTTTTCTGCACTAACATAGCTCAAGCCTGAGAAATGTAACAATATCCCAAAGTCCCAGGCTCAGCCAACTCCCCGGGCGTTGCCCAGCCAATTAGGTTCATGCATCTTATTTTACAGTTGACACATACACACACACTGATTCCTTGCATGCTCCAACATGACTCTCATAGATGAATGTTGCACCAAAATGAAGTTCAAGAGGGAGAAATGCACACTTCAAACTCTGTTTCTCTCTGCTTCTCTCCAGGCACCTGCACAGCTCAAGCCTGAGAAATGTAACAGTATCCAAAAGTCCCAGGCTCAGCTATTTCCCTGGATGTTGCCCAGCCAATCAGCTTCATGCATCTTATTTTACAGTGGACACACACGCTCAATGATACCTTGCATGCTCCAACATGACCTTCATAGATGAGTGCTGCACCAAAATAAAGTTCAACAGGGAGAAATGTAACAATATCCAAAAGTCCCAGGATCGGCCATCTCCCTGGATGTTGCCCAGCCAATTAGCTTCATACGTCTTATTTTACAGTTGACGCACACACTCACTGATTCCTTGCAAGCTCCAACATGACCTTCATAGATGAGTGCTGCACCATAATGAAGTTCAACACACTTCAAACTCTTTTTTCTCCAAGCATCTTCACATCTCAAGCCTGAGAAATGTAATAGTGTCCAAAAGTCCCAGGCTCAGCCATTTCCCTGGATGTTGCCCAGCCAATTAGCTTCATGCATCTTATTTTACACTTCACACACATTGGTTTCTCACATGCTCCAACTGTTATTTCTTCTGGCATCAAAGGTAACGGCTGCCTATTTTCGCTTTCCTTGGCTGTTTTTCTGAACCGGTACCATCTCTTTACGGCTCATTTATGTCAGGCGCTATTTCTTTAGTTGGGGATTTTGTGCTGAACTTTCACACTAGGAACTTACTTAGGCGATCCCTCGTTGACCAAGTAAGATTGTCTTCCAAGTTTGATGTAAGGTGTCCAGAGGAGGGTGACTCAAAGGATCAAGGGTCTGGAGAACAAGCCCTATGAGGAGTGGCTTGAAGAGCTGGGCATGTTGAGCCTTCAGAAGAGAGAGAAGGGTGAGAGGAGACATGATGAGGGCCATAGATCAGTGTGTCCAGAGGAAGAGGGCGACTCAAAGGATCAAGGGTCTGGAGAACAAGCCCTATGAGGAGCGGCTGAAAGAGCTGGGCATGTTGAGCCTTCAGAAGATAGAAAAGGGTGAGAAGAGACATGATGAGGGCCATAGATCAAAGTGTCCAGTGGAAGAGAGCAACTCAAAGGATCAAGGGTCTGGAGAACAAGCCCTATGAGGAGCGGATGAAAGAGCTGGGCATGTTGAGCCTTCAGAAGATAGAAAAGGGTGAGAAGAGACATGATGAGGGCCATAGATCAAAGTGTCCAGTGGAAGAGGGCAACTCAAAGGATTAAGGGTCTGGAGAACAAGCCCTATGAGGAGCGGCTGAAAGAGCTGGGCATGTTGAGCCTGCAGAAGAGGTGAGAGGAGACATGTTGAGGGCCATAGATAAAAAGTGTCCAAAGGAAGAGGGTGACTCAAAGGATCAAGGGTCTGGAGAACAAGCCCTATGAGGAGCGGCTTAAAGAGCTGGGCATGTTGAGCCTTTAGAAGAGGTGAGAGGAGACATGATGAGGGGGCCATGAATCAATATGTGAGGGAAGTCCTAGGGAGGGGGGACCAGGTTTGTTTTCTCTTGCTCTGGAGACTAGGACGCAATGGAACAATGACTTCAAACTACACGAAAGGAGGTCCACCTGAACACGAGGAAGAACTTCCTGACAGAGCTGTTCAGCAGTGGAACTCTCTGCCCTGGAGTGTGGTGGAGGCTCCTTCTTTGGAAGCTTTTAAACAGAGGCTGGATGGCCATCTGTCAGGGGTGATTTGAATGCAATATTCCTGCTTCTTGGCAGAATGGGGTTGGACTGGATGGCCCATGAGGTCTCTTCCATCTCTTTGATTCTATGATTCTAAGAACTTCCTGACTGTGAGAGCCGTTCAGCAGTGGAACTCTCTGCCCTGGAGTGTGGTGGAGGCTCCTTCTGCGGAGGCTTTGAAACAGGCTAGATGGCCATCTGTTGGGGGTGCTTTGAATGCGATTTTCCTGCTTCTTGGCAGAATGGGGTTGGACTGGATGGCCCACCAGGTCTCTTCCAACTCTAGGATTCTAGGATTCTAAGTTCAGCAGATCAGCAGTTTAACCTGCTGTAGTCTTTAAACTGCATGAATTCTGCCGCGTGTGTGCAGCCTACAAAATCATCTTGCAATACTGCAAAATCTCTTTGTAACAGCCCCAAACTGCTGATTTCACGCTCTGAGCGATCAGTTTCCATGATGAGAGAAAAAGAAGTCAAGGCATGAATGTTTGGGTGACCTTTGGGACTGCTGCTGCATGGAAACTCAGGTCTCTCCTTCCTGTCTGTGGCTAGAATAGATTGATATCATAGATGGCTCCCTTTGGGCCTGATTTCTGAGGAATGACCACTTACTCGGTGGGGCTGCCCCTTGCGAGGCGTGGGCGGCCGATGCCTCTGGCCTTGGCTTGCATTGCGGTCTCTCTTTCCGAGTTGTCGGGGCTTTTAGAGGCAAGACTCACTCCACTTGGTCATCTTCTGGAGAAACGGGGTCTCATGCCTTTCCCTGCAAGTGTCCCAACGAAGCCCTCCCAAGAGACAGCCCTCCAGGCTCTGCTGGATTCCAAATCCTAGAGTTGAAAGGGGCACCCAAAGATCATTCTCATCATTTAAGAGGACACCATGCAAACCCTCCCGACAGATGGCCATCCAACCTCTGCTAAAGACCTCCAGAGAAGGAAGGAGGCTCCACTGTCATTCCACTGTCAAGTAACTCTTAACTTTCCCCCTGCTATTTGAACTAGGCATGGATAAAGTCACGTCGGATAATTCGTCACTCGTAATAATTTCATTAAAATTATCTTTTTGAAGTGATAGTGAAGATTTTTTTAAAATCAGGAAGTCCTTTTGCCCTTCCGAAGCTTTTTCTGCCATTTTTGTTACGACTCAGGAAGTGAGTCGGCATGATTCAGCTTGTCCCCGCTTCTGGTCCCTGGCCTCAGCTCAAGCCAGAGTAGCCAGTTTTAAAGCCAGAGAAGCCGGTTTTAACCCAGAGAAGGAAGGAATTTCCTGACCTTGGCTCAAGCCAGAGAAGACAGTTTTAAACCAGAGCAAGAAGGAATTTTCTGGCCTCGGCTCAAGCCAAAGAAGCCAGTTTTAAAGCCAGAGAAGGAAAGAATTTCCAGGCCTCGACTCAATCCAGAGAAGCCAGTTTTAAACCAGAGAAGGAAGGGATTTCCTGGCCTTGACTCAAGCCAAAGAAGCCAATTTTAAAGCCAGAGAAGCCAGTTTTAAAACCAGAGAAGGAAGGAATTTCCTGGCCTCGGCTCAAGCCAGAGAAGACAGTTTTAAAGCCAGAGAGAGAAGGAATTTTCTGGCTTTGGCTCAAACCAAAGATGCCAGTTTTAAAGCCAGAGAAGCCAGTTTTAAACCAGAGAAAGAAGGGATTTCCTGGTCTCGGCTCAAGCCAGAGAAACCAGTTTTAAACCAGAGAAGGAAGGAGTTTCCTGGTCTTGGCTCAGGCCAGAGAAGCCAGTTTTAAACCAGAGAAAGAAGGAATTTTCTGGCCGGCTCAAACCAGAGATACCAGTTTTAAAACCATAGAAGGAAGGAAATTCCTCGTCTTGGCTCAAGCCAGAGAAGCCAGTTTTAAACCAGAGAAGGAAGGAATTTCCTGGTCTTGGTTCAAGCCA